TAAGATAGAGGAGCACATTATCACCTACAATACACAGTGGTGCTCTTGAGGGCTCACCAGAGTCCTTGAGCTGCTGGCTTAAAAGGGCAGATTAAGAAGTGTGAAGCCCTTTGTCTCATGGCTAATGTGTAACAGGAAAGACATCTGTGCTCTTGGCCCAAAAGGAGCCGACGGGAGAGGCCATCAAAAAGGCACTGCTAGCTTCTCACCTGGGCCCAGGCAGCTGGACACTATCCGTCAGAGGCTAAATGAGCTCATCCTAATAGCCAGTTGGACAATGAAATATTAGACAAGTAATGTTTCATCCAAAAATAACAGCCATTTTGACAGTTATGTTGAAGCCCAATTTCCAGGTTGTTTGGAACCTGGAAATGTGAAGCAGGGCTGAAAACAGCCTAGGGAATTAGTGCTTCTGTCTCTAGACATGAGGTGTGCACGGATTTATATCCTTCGTGCACTAGTCCCAAATTTGTATAGAAAATGTCAAGGTCCCATCCCAACCTTGCTTAGACCTCGGATTAAAATTTCACAGAGAATGAAGAGCCTTGCCCATCATCTCCTTAAGATAAGCCTTAGGGCTTCAGTAGAAACCAGTACAGCAGCTCTCGCCTCAGTCCCAAGTGATACCCGCCAGGAAGGAAGGTGCTCTAAGACAGGACTGTGTTACTTATTCATCTAAATGTTCCTCTCACTCCTTGGGTGGGGCTTAGTCTGAGAAGGCTGTTGACTTGAAACATGGCTGGAAAAGAGGAACACTCACCTGCTTCCAGACACCATGCTGCTCACTCTGTGGATGCTGTCTCATTTGACTTTATGGCAGCCCTGTAACAAGGCAATTAAATAAACTGTCCGAAGACAATCGACCAATAAGTGGCATAAATGAGATTTGAACCCGGGCTTATCTGATTCTTTATAAATGAGGATTAAGTCAACTTCATTTGCCAGAGTACCTCAACATAATGTTGGTCTATAGAACAGAGGCCTGTTTCTCATGTTACAGATGTCTGGACATTCCAAAGGATAGGCTAGCGCTACAAAACTGTTAATGAATCAGGCACCTTTCGGCTCCCTGGAAGGTGACCTCATCTTTATGAAGCAAGATGGCTGCTCCATCCATCACATTAATATACCAAGCAAGGAAGAGAAAAAGGGCAGGCCCTCTTTCAAAAAGATTTTCCCAGAACTCCCACATAATGTTCCGCTTACATCTTATTGGCCAGAGCATTGTCACATGTCTACATCTAGCTCCAACTGCAAGGGAGGCTGAAAACTGGGACATGGTAGCTGAACTGCAGTATAACCAGCTAAAAATCAAGGTCTTCTTCCTGAGCATGAAGAGAGAAATGTGTTGGGAGAGACTAGCACTGACTCCAAATATGATATATTTTCTTCCTCTTTGGTGAGTGAAACAGCTTCATGTAATGGTACTTCATAGTTCATATGTCTGAAGCTCTAACTCGTTAGAGGCCATTTCAGAAACCAGAATATAAGTAACAAGACCCCCCAAATGATATATATGTAATTTCCCTACTATAGATCTTGTCAATTTTGGTAAATTTATCTTTCCTGAGATTTAAACCCACTGTCACTCCTTTTAAAAATTACCCAGAAAGAACTTTATACTTATTTCCAATGCCTATCTTGACACTACACAGGTTCCATCATACTACCTGTAGCACCGCCCACACTCTCTAGCTTATGAATTTGCAGAGATACCACCAGCTCTGGCAGGATGAGCAGATGAGACCCAGAAAGAAGGGAGGGCTAATCAGCTTTTGATTACCGAGTTATTGATAGGTGGGACCAGGAGAGCTGCTGAACTGAGATTCACAGGGAGTGGGGAGCACACCTTGTGGTGGGAACTTACTTATCTGTGTCCAGTCACCAGGTGGTAAAGGAGGGGCCTGTCAGCTGGATTCCAAGCAACAGGTCTTGTGACTTGTGAGCAAACTTTTTCCCCACTCCCTCCCATCCTCTGTAGTTATGGCTTTGCTGAGTAATTGTCAGTAACATTAGGGACATGTGTGTATTCTACCTCATTTTTAAAGTTTTACCTTCTATCAGAAAAGCTGGTGGGTGGGAAGGAAGATGCAGCAAGGAAGGAAAATAACCCTTTTCAATTTTTCCGATACAGCTGGTATGTGCAGAAAACACAACCACAACCCTTTTGTTTAATACAAAAGCCTCTTTCTCTTTTAAAAAGAATTAAGTATCCAAAAATAGTTTGAAACTACCCAGAGGCCACCACTAAACTTTAGAATGTTTTCTTTCTGGTTTATTTTTTTATTACATTTTCATTTTTTTAATAATTAGAGGGAAATATTTAAAGTAAAAATTTTATTCTCATAGAAAAACCCTGAAAATTACTGTCACAACATCATATAGTGAGGAAAGGGCATTGGTGGCCTTGGTTCTGATGTTAAGCTATCCCTGGGACCTTGAGTAAGCTAGTTATCTCTGGGTTTCAGATACTCACCTGCAGGTTGGAAGTGGGAGATGTCAAGTACCAGGGCCTTTTCCTCACCAGACATCTGTGTTACGGCATGTGAGACAGTCTGCAAAACTTAATGCGGGATCACGGAGCTGGCATCAAATCCAGATGTTTCTTAATTTGGGGTCCATGAATATTTCCAGAGTGTGTTATCGCCATAATTAGGTGGGACACATGCATGAACCCCCAATTTATACTCTTTTGTAAGAGAAAGGCCCATCACATTTATGAGAGTCTTAAGGAATCTGTGACCTGAGGAAGGTTAAGAACCACTGGTCTACTCTCACTTTATGGACAGGCCCCTTCCGTCAGGGAAGTGAAGGGACTTGCTCCAAATGCTCATCCTATGGATCTTCCTGCCAATCTGGAGAGCAGTGCTCTCTCTCCTCCGTGGAAGTGACCCATCCTGGGTGCCCTCTGCTCTGCACTGTGATGGAAATAACTCCTCTAGGTCTCCCCATCCTGCCCAGCCTCCTCTGGCATCTTTTCCCCCTAATTCTCCCCCCGCCCCTTCAGGAAGCCCTGTCCCCCAGAAGTCGGAGGGGAGATGTTGTAAGGGAGGAAACAGGCTGACACAGTCAAGGTCCTCGTTCCCACTCCTTTATTTCTGAGAGAACATCTCAGCTCTCCGTGTAGTTTATCCTTCTCGCCAGAAGTGACATGGAGAACCTTCTCCCAAGACCTGACATAATAGTGCAAAGGGCACAGTGTCTGACGCTGAAGGAAAATCCTCAGATTGACAGTTCATAGGAGGAGGGTCACCCCAGTTGCTAAGGGAGTGGATTGTGTCCCACTCTACCATATGGGAAGCAAAACAGCCTCAAAAAGATTGTACAATGGGAACACTGTGGTGTTTGTGCTGAGAATTCATCAGACAGAACCTTGTATGTGAAACCCAAAGTGACCTTTTCGGAGGGCCCTAGCCCTCCATAGGAAGGCAAATACCACCAGATTGCCTGACATTTCCTTTTTTAATTTCAAGCATTCCCAATTTCACGTCGGCTATTGATCTGTTGGTTTGTAGCCCCGATGCAACTAAGTGAAGTCACTTTCATTGCTGTTATAGACTAATATAAACTACTGTTTTGAAATCCCAGTGTCCTCCCTGTATCTCCTTCTCCCTGCCTCATAACACCACCCCCTCCCCAAAGCCTGCCAGCCAACAACATGCAGTGTAGATGGTGCCGGTTGCAGAAAAGGGCATTTTTCTAAACCTGAAATTAAAATCTTCAGAGTTGAACTATGTACTGTTGTACTGCGTCCATTTTTAAAGATCACATTTATTTGTTCACTCCTTACTTTAAGTCCCTCTTGGCAGAAGCTATAAAAAAATATTCTAAAGAGGAGGGTTTGTTGATTCTAGTCAGTCACCCAAATGTAATGTGGAACTCAGCTAGGGAGTGTGCTGAGCTCCACCTGGAATTGATGATGAAGACAGATGAGAAGTGGTAACTCAGAGAGCAAAGGTTGAAAGGTGGTATTGCTCCGGGATTAGTGTTTTGAATGGATCTTAGGGCTAGTCCCGTCCATTGGCCCCGGAAGCCCCAGCAGGCAGGTGTGTGGCAGGTGCATGTGCAGCTGGAGCTTGGTGTTCAGAACTTGAAAGTGGAGCTCTTGAGATCCTGGCAGTGCATGGTACCACTTGTTCCTCTGGTGAAGAGCGTTCTCTCTGGCTCCGGTTAACCTGAGAGAATTGGCCAGGGAAAGATACCTGGATGGATTCTTGGTTGGTCTGTTCACAGCATAATTTATCAGAGTCTGGCTGCTGCTCCTCTGAGAGGACCTGCTGGTGCAAAAGCATCTGGTCAGTCTAGTCCAGCTGGGGGACAGTGAGGAAGAATGAGCTGCCAAAAAACTAACAGGCAACTGTAGGAGGAGACCATCTGAAGAAATGAGCTCTCCCATTTTTTTTCTTAAAACTCAGCCCCAGGGGAGAAAGGAGTGGGTGGAGGTGGAAGAGGGCATAGAGGGGATAAATGGTGATGGAAAAAATTAAATTAATTAAAAATTTTAAAAGCTCAGCCCTTTGGTCTGTCTGTTGTTCACACAGCAATGTGGGTGATTGAATTGCAACAAACATTTGAATTGCCCTACTCAACATTCATATTTTTTCCAAAGGTAGAAGCTAATTCTGTTCTGCCTTATCCTTCTCATGTTGAAAATCAGGCAGCCCCACACCAGCTCTTAATATCATCCTTGCTGAGGAACTCAGGGAAAGCCCCTAGAATGAGAAGCTTTGCTCGCCATCCTGATTTGACCTTTCAAAATTAGGACTCACTGCCTACATACAATAGTTTTCTCCTGTTACATTTAGGGTGATCATACAACCCAGCTTCCTATAAGACATCTGATTTATGTCTGTTGTCCCCTGAGATTAATAGCACCCAAAGCAGCCCGTTTGAGGTGAAACGTTTTTTATATGATCACACTAATTACGGGGAATGAAAGGAAGGAAATGAGTTTCTGCTGAAGGTTCTAACCTTGTGCTCCTTTCTTTCTGTCGCCGCAGCTCCACTTGGCAGCCCTGGCATCACTCAAGGGAGACATAGTGGAGCTTAATAAACGTCTGCAGCAAACAGAGCGGGAACGGGATCTTCTGGAAAAGAAATTGGCCAAGGCACAGGTAAGGGACTGGAAAGACTTTCAACTTTCTTTATTGTGAGATAAAATGTAGATACAGACATTCCCACAAAACAAATTATAGCTTAACTAGAGGCCTGGTGCATACAATTTGTGAACTTGGGGGGTGTCCCTCAGCCCGGCCTGCACCCTCTCGTAGTCTGGGAGCACTCGGGGGATGTCCGACTGCCGGCTTAGCGCTGCCGTGGAGGTGAGAGAGGCTCCCACCACCGCCGCTGCGCTCGCCAGCCATGAGCCCGGCTTCTGGCTGAGCGGCACTCCCCCTGTGGGAGCGCACTGACCACCAGGGGACAGCTCCTGCATTGAGCGTTTGCCCCCTGGTGGTCAGTGTGCGTCATAGCAACCGGTTGTTCCGCCATTTGCTCAATTTGCATATTAGCCTTTTATAATATAGGATGAGCAAACATCCTCATGACCACTGTCCAGGCCAAGAAATAGTACTTGCCAGCCATCCAATCCCACTTTCCCTCCCACTAAGGTGACTCCTACCATGACTTTTTATAATCGTATTGGAGGCCCGGTGCACAAAAATTTGTGCACTGGGGGGCGGGTGGGGGGTCCCCCAGCCAAGCCTGTGCCCTCTCGCAGTCTGGGACCCCTCGGGAGATAACGACCTGCTGGCTTAGGCTTGCTCCGAGATGGCAGAGGGCACGCCCAATCCCTAGGTGCAGCCCCTGGTCAGGCTCAGAGCAGGGCCGATTGGGGAGTCAGGGCACCGCCCCGTCATGCACAGAGCAGGGCGGATCGGGAGGTTGCGATGCCACCCTCAGTCACGCTCAGGGTAGGGCCTATTGGGGGGTTGGGGCACCGCCCCCTGTCACACTCAAGGCAGGGTCGATGGGGAGGTTGCAGCACCACCCCCTGTCACACACAGAGCAGGGCCGATCAGGGGGTTGGGGCGCTGCCCCCTGTCACTCACAGAGCAGGGCCCATCAGGGGGTTGGGGTGCTGCCCCCTGTCACTCACAGAGCAGGGCCCATCAGGGGGTTGGGGCGCTGCCCCCTGTCACTCACAGAGCAGGGCCCATCAGGGGAGTTGGGGCTCCGTACCCTGTCACACACAGAGCAGGGCCGATCAGGGGGTTGAGGAGCTCCCCCCTGTCACTCACAGAGTAGGGCCGATAGGGGAGTTGGGGTGCCACACCCTGTCACACACAGAGCAGGGCGATCAGGGGGTTGGGGGTGCGGCACCCTGTCACACACAGAGCCGCAGGGCGATGAGGGGATTGGGGAGCTCCCCCCTATCAGGCACAGAACTGGGCTGATCAGGAGGTTGGGGTGCCTTCCCCTGTCATGAACAGAGCAGGGCAGATAGGGAGGTTGTGGCCCCGCCCCCTGTCACTCACAGAGCCGCAGGGCGATCAGGGGCTTTGGGCGCTGCCCCCTGTCATGCTGATCCCAGTGCCAGGAGGCATATTACCCTTTTACTATATAGAATAGAGGCCTGGTGCATGGGTGGGGGCCAGCTGGTTTGCCCTGAAGGGTGTCCTGGATCAAGGTGGGGGTCCCCACTGGGGTGCCTGGCCAGTCTGGGTGAGGGGCTGAGGGCTGTTTTCAGGCTGGTGGGTTGAATGAAGCTCCCAACCGCTCCTTTTTTTCTTTTTTCTTTTTTATTCTGGGCCAGCTTTAGCTCTGAGGCCTCGCTGCTGAAAGCAGGTTTCTGGCCTTTACCTTCTGTATTTGATACAATGTTGCGGTCTGGCTGGCTGAAGCCTGGCTGACTAATGCAGGTTTCTGGGGTTTTGTTTAGCTTCTATATTTGCAACATAGTTGTTTAGAGTTGCAGCTGAGAGGCTGGCAAGTGGAGTTCGCAGTCACTGGAGCAAGCAAGCCTCCCTGTTCCCTTCAGTGCATGGCTGCCGGCCGCCATCTTGGCTGACAGTTAATTTGCATAAGGATATGCTGATTAGCCAATGGGAAGGGTAGCGGTCATATGCTAATTACCATGTTTCTCTTTTATTAGTGTAGATTGGAGGCCTGATGCACAAAAATTCGTGCAAGAGTAGGCCTTCCTTCCCCCAGCTGCCAGCACCAGCTTCCCTCCCACACCCAGGACCCGGGCTTCCCCCCTCTGGCTGCCGGAAGGCACCTGGGACCCGGGCTGGCTTCCCTCAGGCCCCGGCTTCATCAGAAAGGACATCCAGAATGCGTCCAGAAGATGTCCAGTCTAATTAGCATATTACCCTTTTATTATTATAGATTTTCTGCTTCTTTATAGTTTTCCACTAAAGTCTATAGATAGTAGAGTTTAGTCTTACCCATTTAAAAACTGTTTTCATTGAATCTCTTCATCTACAGGTTTTTCCTCTATTCTTTGTTTGCCTTATAATTAATCTGTTAAAACCTGACCACTTGACCTGTAGTTCCCCACAATCTGGATGCTGATGATTGCACACTCATAGTGCAGTTCCACATGTGCCTCTGTCCCCTGTATTTCCTGCATTAGCAGTTGGATGCAGAGGCTCAGTCAGATGGGCAGCATATAATGGTTGTCTTGCTTTCAGTAATGTTAGCAGCTATTGACACTCAATGCCCTAAGTTCATTGATTCATGAGGACTTATAAATCATGGCATTTTAGTTCTGACCATTTCTTTTTTAGTTATTAATTCTTTCTTAGTTATTAACTGCTTTCAAGAGACAATGTCCATCATGTATGATTTATTAAAACAATGATATAGTTCATAGAGAAAGAGCAGAATTAATGCTTCATTCTTTTAATTTATTTAACATTTTTCAAGATAATGAATTGATTACCTATGATTTTCTGAAAGTACCTAATTTTTTTCAAATATTGTTATGAATTTATGGATTTAAGTATATTTGGGTTTCAATTCATTATAATTATTTTCCTTGCAGAAACTCAAATTATAGTAAGAACCTCTTTAAGTTGGTTTCAGAGTTTTTTGACATGAGCCTAATAGTTATTCCAGGTTCACCTAGTACATTTTTGCCCCAAACTTGGAATAAACCATTCTCCAAGTAGCCCTCATTTACGCAAGAAAAATGGTATTTCAAGACCACAATCTCAGTGCTAAGGGGGCTTATTGCTTCTAGGTTGGTCATTGCTTTTACAGACAGCCAGGACATTATTTATTTAATTATCTGAATGTATATGTATGTATAAATTTTAAGATAAAATACCATAGGAGTTATGCTAATTGCTCCTATTCAAATTGGGAAAAATTGAATTGCCCTATTCAACTTCCATATTTTCCAAAGGCAAAAGTTAATTTGGTTCTGCCTTACCCTTACTTCTTACATTGAGAATCAGGCGGCCCCACAGCAGCCCTCAATCATTGACCTTGCTGAGTTACTCAGAGAAGACTACAGAGTACTTTTATTTAGCTTCTTCTGTATTTTATCTTTATTTTTTTCTTTTCATACTGAGAATCCTGATTCTTAAAGTTACAGAGGATGACTGAATTAGAATATTTCATAATTACTTATTTGTTTTATTCCATATTATGTACAAACAGGCTCAGGATAATATTAGCACTCCCATGATATATAATTACTGAAGAGAATTTTAAAAAATTTTGTCATTATGCTCTCCACATTTCCCCAATTTTTTGCCATTGTACTACATCCACACTCCTGACTATGGCCATTGCAGCCTGTCCTGCCTCCCTTTCAGTCCTCAACAAGTAACTATATGTTTAACGTTGACCAGGGTCCTTATGTCGATGTCACTCCTCTGCTTTTAGATTCCTCAGAGAGGATTCATTAAAATAATCTTCTCCAAGTCCTTGCTTGTTAATAACAGTGTGTCGGTGCCCTTCATACTTGAAAGGCATTTTTGCTGAATAGAAAGCCCTTGGCTCATCTTTTCTTTACTTGAATATGTTTTTTTAATTCTCTTTTGGCAGACAGCGTTGCTCTCAAAGTCTAATAATAATACAACTTTCTTTTCACTCACTTACTTATTCTAGATGTCCATAGCATTTTGTTTCTTTTTATTTAAGTCCAGTCATTTTACTAGAGCAGTTCTTAATCTTAATCATTCTGGTTAGATATTCTCAGGTTTGCTGTGTATGATTTTGATTATATTTTAAAGTAAATGTTTTTAATATCTGGTAAGGTTTTTTAAAAATTTTTAATGTTTAATATTAGTTCAGTTCCCTTTTATTTTTTATTCTTCAAAGATGCTTATTATTTGTATGCGAGGTTTTCTTTGCCTGTCTTCAGTATCTGTCACTATTTCAAATCCTTTATATCTCTCTCTTTTTAGTTTGTTCTTCCTATTCTCCACCTTCTGTTTCTCTTGGGGTATTATATGTTGTTTATTCTCGCTTGTACGCCTCCTAGTTTAGTCTTTATTTCTGAAATGCATTTTTTCTTATTTCTGTTTTTTCTGTGTTCTAATACCTTCTGAGTTTTTCTGATTTTGAATTATGTTCTTTCGTGTCTTATGTCATTTTATTTCCTGTGAGTCTTTTAACTTATTTTGAAATAGTAAGCTATTATATTGGGCTTTTTCTCCCTCTCATCTATTTTGTGGCATGCTTTCATGGTTTATAGGGACGTTATTCTGCTCTTTTTTCCCCCTTCTTTATAACCTTTGTATGGAATTTGACCTCAGTACTTTTGTGTTTCATTTTTATGTGAAAAAATAGCTTCCTTGAACTTTCAGAAGGTAGGATTTATGATGGCTTTTTTTTTTTTAAGTTCGTAGAGCTAAGTCTTCGGTTGTCATGTAGTCCACAATGTGGCAGCTTGCTTTCTGATACTTCCTGGCTCTGTTCCCCTCTCCTACTTCTACCGGGGTCTGTTTTTTCATTTGTCTCTGTTACCCCCCCCACTCTGTTCAATTTTGACCCACTCCCTGCAGTTTTTCCTCCTGGAGAGGAAGCCTGGGATCAGTCTTGAAAGTTCGCAGAGATCAGCTGCTTTAGTCCCTGCAGATCTTACTGTGGGTCCCTTGCTCACTCACTCTAGGCTCAGGCAAAAGCCCTTCCTGCCAGGGCTGGGCAAACTTTTTGACTC